AGACTTTCCCTGTCGAAAAACAAGGTGCGAGCGTCGAGGGGCACACTTTGATTGAGAAAGCAATACGCACTGGTGAGGAGGTCAACAACAGTTATTCTTCAGAAATGAGAGTTCAACAGCAGCAGCAGCAGCAACAACAACAACAACAGCAGCAGTAGCAACAACAACAACAACAACCACAACAACAGCAGCAGCAATAACAACAACAACAACAACAAGTACAACAACAACAACAGCAGCAGCAGCAACAACCACAGCAACAACGGCAACAACAACAACAACAACGACAACAACAACAGCAGCAACAACAACCATGACAATAACAACAACGATGTTACTGCTGCTGTAATAGCAGCAGCAACAACAACAACAACATCAATACCAACAACAACAACAACGACGACGACGACGACAGCAGCAGCAGCAGCAGCAGCAGCAGCAACAACAACAACAACAACAACAACAACAACAACAACAACAACAACAACAGCAGCAGCAGCAGCAGCAGCAACAACAACAACAACAAACAACAAACAACAAACAACAAACAACAAACAACAAACAACAAACAACAAACAACAAACAACAACAACAACAACAACAGCAACAGCAACCATGTTGCTTTTGCTGCTGCAGCAACAACAACAACAAAAAGCTTGCCGGCGTGAACCCCAAACAGTAAGTTATGGCACTGTGGAAGTATGTGCCATTGTGAACGCTATATGATGCACGCTGTGGCGTATGTGCCATTCGAATGGACACTCCCACAGGCGGCAACGGCCGGCAACGGGCCCAAACATGGCGAATCCTCTGGGCACCTCTTCAGGCGGCCACTGGCGGCAACTGGCAGGAACGAGGCGGGTCCTCCGGACACCCCCACAAGCGGCCCGGGGCGGCAAAAGGCCGGAACGTGCCATATCCCCAGGACACCCTCACAGGCGGGAAAAAAGGACGCAACGGGGCGGCAACAAGCCGGAACGTGGCGACTCCTCAAGACACTTGCTCAATCCAAGAAGAACCGCTCAATGCCAGCCCTGTTCGGGGAACAGCGCCCTGCAACGCCCTGGGGACGGCGAGGCCGCGACCGCTCAGCAGAGCCCCGGTGCTGCCAGGCACGTGAGGCAGAGATTGACAACCGTAGATGCCTTGTTGTTCGCCTCGAGAGGGCTGAGGGTGGCCTCGAGAGGGCTCCAGCCAACTCGCGGACGGCTCCAAGAACGCCCCTTCAGAGCCCCACGAATAACCGCAGGCCCCCCATAACGGCTTCAGCACGGCTCCGATCCCCAGTCAGATGGCCACAAGTGGGTCCTACAGGGCATCATTGGGGCCTGCGGAGGTGGTAAACAGGTCTACCATGCACGAGAAACAAACAAAAAAAAACGTCCGAAGGCGCTTCGGCCCAAGACAGCTTTGGCAAGCGTCAAAAAGCTTTTGGGCCTCCCCAGAAGGCCGCAAGAGGCCCCACAGACGGCTCAAGAGGACCGCAGGACAGCCCCAAGGATCCACCGAGCCCTTCCAGGGAAATCAGTAGAATCGTGCGAAAGTGTCTTCAGAGTCCGCGGGGAACACTGTAATACGGTCTGGGGAACTGCAGAGGGAGCCGTGAAACCATTCTCGTCGTACCAAGCCTCCTGTGGAAAACTCGGTAGAAGCATCGCGCCCATGACAGCCCACAAAAAGCAAAAAACCAAACTTTGTAGAATGGTGGGGCTGGTAGAACAACGGTGGACCTACGATACAGCGATCCTGAACTGTATCGAGGCAGCGCTGGCTCAGTGAAGCAATTCGACGTAATGCTCACATGCGCTGAATGATGCCTATTGCACAAACTGCGAGTGCATGATGTGAGTCGTACAGTGGGCAAGCATGGCACGCGCAAACATTCAAACGGACACCAAGCTAATCTCTGCGAGTGTCTACATTTACATGTGTATCCGAACATGAACGTATGTACAATGCACACGGTTGGCCGTGACCGATATCGCAACATACTATGTATAAATGTATGTATTTATACACACAAGAAAATATATGATGCTTGAAAACAAATCACATGCCGTGGGTCCTGCTTTGGCAGCAGGCAAACTTCAGTCCGTCACACCCACCAATGCGGGCTACAGGCAAAACCTGAGAAAAACAACGACATGAGTGATCATTGTGAAATACGTGTGCTGGGCTATGTCACGATCAAGACGCCCTTGATTACAACGAATAATTTAACATGTGTAAGTATGGGCCAGTCCAACGTGGCCAAATAGACCTCCACGAAAAGTACCTCGCAACAAACTGCCATCTGACATAATCCGCACAGCCCCTCTTGCAAGGAGGGAAGGCATGTGAGACGCTTGGCAAAGTCGGGAGGTGAACCCGAAAAACACCCTAGGCGAAACCCCAAAATCTGGTGTCGAACCCGAAAAAATCCACAGAGGACCAAACCCGAAAATCCAGTGGAGCGAAACCCGAAACCCCAGGAGAGGCCAACCCCGACACCCTAGAGAGCCAGCCTCGACCCCTCCTCGTCCCCTTCCTCCCCCTGCTCCTCTGCATCCTCCTCCTCCTCCTCCTCCTCCTCCTCCTCCTCCTCCTCGTCCTCCTCCTCCTCCTCCTCCTCCCCCTCCTCGGCCAAGCCCCTCCTCCTCCTCCTCCTCCTCCTCCCCTGCCACGGCGACGGAGCCGGCGGCGACGGCGACGACGACGACGACGCCGACGGAATCGGCTGCGGCGCCGACGACGACAGCGACGGCAAAGGCGACAGCAGCCGGTGGGGACGGCAACAAGACCGCAAGGCCTCGGGCCTAGGCCCGAGCCGAGCCTGGGCACAGGCAACTCCCGCGGCGTGCGCGCCCGCCCCTGCCCAGCTCACCGCCCGAGGGCTAAGGTCACAGAAGTGAAGAGGCTGGTCAGTATCTGTGATCACCATACGCTTGCTCGAATCTCAAACATCAAAGATCGAGAATGAAAGCTCCCTTTCCTTCGGAGGCTCTCGCCATCGGCACGGCTGGACGCAGCTCAGTAAACTTGCCGCTCTGGTATGCTGAAAGGGTCTGGGCTACAAAATGAAAATCCCAAGCTTCCTTGCCTTCGCACGCCATCCTCGTCGCCACGGCTAGACGAAGCTCGGAGAACTAATCGGCGTGGACCACCTTTACGAAAGTCACAAATATAAACAACAAAACTCCCCGAATATGTGACCCCCTCATGCTTGTTACGACCTCGAGCCTCGTGGAAGGAGATTGAACGCTCGAACGCTTGCTGTCCCTCACAAGCCCTCACCATAGTCACGGCTGGACGCAACTCATTACACTTGCCGCGAAGACCCCCTGGAGGGTCCAGCCTGAACGACTGAGGTTCCGGGCTTTCTTGCCCTCGGGTGCCATGCTCGTCGCCACAGCTGAACGCAGCTCGGAGAACTAATCGAGTTGACCCTCGGAGCCTAAAGTCGAGAGGTTCAGAGGCGAAGGGAGGGAGGGAAGAAGAAAGGAGGTGGGGAATGGGAGGGAGGAGGGAGGAGGGAGGAAGGAGGAGGGAGGAGGTTGTGATTCTGGCTAAACGCAGAGGGGACGAGCGAGGAGGGAGGGAATGGAAAAGAGGTGGGGGGAGGAGAGAGGAAGGGGGAAGGAGGAGGGATGAGGGAGAAGGAAAAAGACAGGGGGAGGGGGGACGTGGGAGGGAGGGAAGGAGAAAGGATGTGGGGACCGGGATGGGATGGGGGAGGGAGGAGGGAGGAGGGAGGAGGTTGTGATTCTGGCTAAACGCAGAGGGGACGAGAGAGGAGGGAGGAGAGGGAAGAGAGGTGAGGGGGAGGAGAGAGGAGAGGGAAGAAAGACAAAGGAGAGAGGAGAGGGAAGAGAGGTGGGGGGTAGGACAAAGGAGGTGGGGATGGGAGGGAGGAGGGAGGGAGGAGGGAGGAGGGAGGAAGTAGGAGGGAGGAGGGAGGAGGTTATGATTCTATCTAAACGCAGAGGGGTCGAGCGAGAGGTGGGGGGAAAGGGGAGAGGAAGGGGGAAGGAAGAAGGAGGGATAATGGAGAAGGAGGAAAGAAAGAGAGGAGGGAGGGGGGGAGAAGAGCGAGGGAGATGAGCGGAGCGAGAAGGGAGGAGGGAATCGGGAGGAGGGACGCCAGTCGCGAGAAGGAGAAAAATCGAAGTACTACAACACAGCGACAATGCCGTCCTCGCTGCACCGACCACCCCTGACGGAACTCGCATCCTCACCCGGCCCAGTCGCCTCCAACCGAACCTCCCACGCGTCCAAGCTCCACCACCCAACATTTCGGATCACACCTCCCTGCGGTTTCGGGTTTACCCCTTCTCGTGATTGCAGGTTTGACGCAAACGAGTTTGGGGGTTTTGCCCTTCCACGGATTTCGGGTTGACCTCCCTCGGTTTTCGGGTTCGGCGGCGATTTCCGGGTTCAAGCTTAAACCCGCTCGGCAGTGCCCCTCCCCAGGGTGCGAAATCCCGTGACAAAGTGGGGGGCGGCTGGGGGAATGGGGGGGCGAGCTCCTCGACGCGCTTCCCAGGCCCTCAGAGCCTCCAGATCCACCCACCGACGTCGCCAAGATGTCTGAGATGCCCTCCAAGACGGCTGAAGGCTGAAGGTATGCCCCGACACGCCTGCGAGGCCTGAAGAAGATCTCAAGAGTCCACGAGAAGATCCAGGCCACGAGGCCACGGCCCCGAAGAGGCTCCAGGGAAGCTCCAAAAGAGGCCCCCAAGAGGCATAGTGTTCCCTCTCCTCACGTCTCTTCTCCCAGAAGTGCTCCGCCAAGAGTTTCCACAACGGCTCGAGGGACACATCGCCCAATCACTTGGCAAGACTTCAGACAAGGGGCGACGGTGGTTCGCCGAAGGCGTCTTCGATATCACCGCGCACTCGTGGTATGTGTTTCCTGGTCGGAGCGCTCCTGCGAACGCGTCGCTCTCAGCTACACCCCCAATCGCCTCACAAGCCCCAAATAAAAAGGCAGGTGGTCCATAACCTTTCCGCTCCCTCCGGGCCTTCTGCGTCCTGAACACGATCAGGAAGCCCAGGACAAAGGAGAGGGAGTTGCCATTCGCAGAGATGTCCTTCCCATCACCCTCACCCCCCATGATATCTGGAGAGATATCACGGCCCCGACCATGAGATCACCCCCTTAGCCATCAACACTATCTTGCCTGCCCCAGAACTTTGCCCGAACTCCCTCCTCGTACTCGGCCACCGTCTCGTCGTCGATCAGCAAGCGCAGCAGCCCGCTCATCAGCGCGGCGGGCACGGCCCAGATCAGCGCCTTCGGGATCACCGACCCGCGCAGCTGGAAAATGAACGCTATGGCCCACTTGCCCTGTTGCCGGGCCGAGGAGGAAGAGCGGTGCAAGGTTTGACCGGCGTGTCACGGGTCCGCCTGGCAGGAGCCAGCGACGTGGCCAGACTGTTCCCGAAACTGTCGGAGGCCAACATGAGCACTGGGCACGACGGATGTCCGAGTGGCCGTGGGGCCATCACGGCAGCGCTGGTGTTGGGTGGTGAGATCTGAACCCTACCCCCACCAACCATCGAATTCTCCTGAACTGATGGGGGGCGGGGTAGTGATCGGACTCCGCCGCGTGTGCGACGAATTCCGAGCCCGGCCCCCGCCGCCCATCGAGTTGCCTGAGTCCTTGATCGGCGAGAGCAGGCTTCGGATTTCGCGCGAGCGTGCTTCGAAACTGGGCAACGCTTCAAAGAAAGATTGGCCTGGGCAGGCGAGTCAATCGAGAAACATGCCGTTCCATTGCACCACACATGAATAGCGAAGAACAGTATGAGCAACCCGCGGCCGAGATGTGGAGGGAGGGGGCGGGAGCAGCCGAGGCGGCAGCCGCCGCGGACTGGAGAAGGGGGCACTGGGTGGACTGTCGGTCAATCCTGGCCCCCCTTTTAGAGGCCTCCTGGATGGGATCCGAATAGATGGGGACGGAGGATCTCGCCGCATCGCCGATACATCGGCGATGCATCGGCCATGCATCGGCCATGCACTGGCGACGTCGGCGATACATCCTCGACGTCCGCGTGGAGAATATTGGGCCCCACATCAGCCCGCATCGCTGATGCATCGCTGACGATCGGCGACTCGGCGCGATCCTCCGACACCATCTACTCCGACCTCATCCAGGAGGCCTAGACTTCTGGGGATGCTGCCAGAGGAGCTGCCGGACCAGGGTGCACCCCTCTTGTCGCGCCAGTTCGGAACCCTCCTGGGGTCCCCTGGGCTTCATGAGCAGTGCCCTGGAGGCCATCTGGGCCTTCCTGGACAAGCTGGGGACACACTGGGCACCGCTGGCAACACCCGGCCTATGAGACCCGCGCCTCGTCGTACTCGATCATCCTTGTACTCGAGCTGCTGGAAAAGCGGAAGCCGCGACAGTACGAGTCCACTCTGCATGGCCTCGCTCTCTCGGGCCGAAATGAGCGGAAGAGGACGAGGGGGACGAGAATGGGTAGTATCAGGGCATGTCGAAATCGCTGATGGCCTGGGAGAAGAGGCCATGTATCTGATCTAAACATGCGCACCCTCTTCATGCCATCAGCGTTCCTTATCCTGGCGCGCACGTTAGCTGCCACAAGCAGACAGATTATTAAAGACCAACATCTGCGGTTCCAGAGGGGTCTGGAGGGGGGAGGTGCGATCCATCAGAGCATCCAAGGGGCCCAGCATGGCTCCACGATGAACCCAGTTTGCCCATTATGGTTTCCAAGGTGGCGCAAGGTGGCCCTGGAAGATATAGAATGGCCTACGTCATGTTGTTCAACGTGACGCATCAAGGGATTCTGAGACTCCCTAGAGGTCTCAGGAGATCTCCTCAAGTCTCGAGGGGCCTCAAAGGCCTGCTGAGACCCAAAACTGGCCCACGAACCCTCGGAAACATTGGCACTCGATGGTGGAGCCTCCAAGGAGACCCCATGGCGGCCTCTGGCAAACGCGGGCAGCAAAGATCTCGTTCTGCAATGGGGCCCGAGTGCGCGATGGCCAGGGGAGGAAGGGGAGGAGGAGCAGGGGCAGCGGGAGGAGGTGGGGGAGGCGGGGGAGGAGGGGGAGGAGGGGCAAGGGGACCCGAGGGAGAGGGAAGGCGAGGGTGGGAAGGGATGCGACCCTGCTGAACTCCGCGTCGGCACGGCGCGAAAAGAGACGCGATTAAGACACCCTAGGCGTGCACCGACAGCTATTGAGACGGATTGACCAGGAAGGCAAGCACGAAACCTAACGACAGAAGGGGGGGAGAAGAAGGGATGGAGCGGCGAGAAGCAACAAGACCTTCTGATAGTAGACACACGGCTCCATGCTGAGGTTCGCGGCCTTGAGTGTGAGGCCCCCCAGAGGCCCCAATAGGTGCCCAAGAGGGGAACCTCGGAATGCAGATTCGAGCCCTCCAGCCCAAGACGGCCCTGGGGACAGCCTGCAAACCCCACAAGAGGCCCCCAGATGCCCCACGGAGACCCCCACGACCACGAGGCCCCAAACAAACCCTCGAAAGAAAAAACGAAAAGGCCCCGCAAGGCCGTTCCAGGACGCCTCACGGTGGCGGTGACGGTGATGGTGCCCGCAAGATTGTCCACGCGAGGGGCGGGGCGGGGCCAGAGCCACCCACCGAAAATAAGGAAACTAACGCGTGCTGCTGGCAAGGGTCGCTACTATCAGGCTCATCCATGATTCACAAAACAATGTTCCAAGTCATTTCACAAGGTTGTTGCGGTCACAGTGGCGGGATGGGCCGAAGGCCACCAGAAGCCCCATGTCACTTGCCGAAAGTGCGTGTCATCCATCGCCCAATGCCACGGCTGGCGCGCGTCTGGCAAAATGTCGTTTCTCGTTCTGCTCCAAACGCCATAAAGCAAGAATTGGGACTCCCACCTTATGAATATGGCGAAGACAGGATCAAGAGATATTCAGACGAGGATACATCGGGGATCTCTGAGTTCCAGCGGGTGCAGGGGATGTTTCGGACACCGCGGCCGTTGCAGACGGTTCGGAAACGCTCTAAGCTTTCGAGAACGCTCTGGAGCGATTGATTCATATCCACCCTAGGCTTGCCAGAAGACGGCCTCCCATTCGTCAGCTGCTTACCCCATGGCCGCGGAACGAGGCGGACAGGTGGGCCATCATCGCCCAGCTTCTCCTCTGGAACCGCTTCCTTTGCTGAGGCGACTTTTTGAGCATCCGCGCCGCAGCCAGCCAGTGCGCCCCAACGGCCGACGTGGAAGCCCAGGGCCCTGCTGAGGGAGCGCGACGCGCAAGCTCCAAGTCCACGCCGTGGAACAATCACAACCCCCGGGCACCCTGAAAGACCCCGTCGAAGCTGGACTCGCAGGGATCTGGGGACGATACAGCGATGAAGGACCCACGCCTCGCGACTGCACAGGGCGCGCTGCGCGGGTCAAAACACGCAAACGCCATACACGACCGCACGGCATGGCTCACCTGCGAAACGCTTCCAGGAGCGCTCGAACTTTGAGCATCTCGCTTCGGAGAGGCATGGAACGACGCCGCACGAGCACGCGGGCTTACTACGACAACCCAGCCCCATCCTTGAGAAATCCATCAGTTCAAAAGACGTATCAGGTGTGTCCGTCGCAGACAGATGTTCAGAACACGCTGGATCCGATCAACACCTTGCGGAGAACGATAACAAATTGCGGACAAACGCGCCGACCTCACTTCTGTAGCTTCTAAACAACAACGTGGTGATGAAGAGACGCTCAGGACAAACAGAGTTTTTTGTAACACGAGCCTGAGAAAAGAGGCAACTGTCAGAGGAGCGGGTGAAAACACTACAACACGACTGATACGTGACGAAAGCGTCCATTGAGCGAAAATGCGTGCAGGAACCCGAGCCCACGAATCCGAAATAGAAAGCAAATCCCATTGAGATAAGTAAGTGAAGCAGATACGACGCAACTTGGCATTTGATGTTTGCCAGAAAAGAATACGAAAACCCATGGGCCACTACAACCATTGATAGTAGGAGATACGCAAGAGCGACTGCATCGACTCCCAGCTACGACGGGAGGGAGGGAGGAAAACAAAAAAAACGCCCACCCCAAGAACAGAGGCATTCAAGGAACACCAAAATAAACAACAGTGGCTGTGGAAATTCGGCCACACACTCTACTTCATCTGACCACGTTCAGAGACCACGCAGTGTGTGAAAGAAAGAATGCGGAGAAGCTGACAGGAAAAAACAGGCACAGCGAAGCATCAGTGCATGAGCCCAAATCGTGTCTACCATTCGTTGAACTCGACCCTTGGAATGTCGATCCAATCCCAGGTCTGCGTCTCGTTATAAGATGCGTCGGCCCGCGAGGTCCACATGACGGGACCAATGAAACCGTCGGGAAACTTCCACATGCACACGTAGGACGTCTAAAACCAATTCCGATAAGCCCTCGCCCCGTGGCGATGAGACCGGCCGCAGGTAGCCGTCTCCCTTTGAATTTCACGCGGAAGGATCGCCCTTGTTCGGATTCCGCTAAGCTTGCTGCACCTGGCGCATACAAAGGCGAGACGCCTATGGATATGGAGCCCACTTGTGCACGGCCCGTTTGGGGGTCCTGCTTGGCGGAGCCGGGTTGGAGGTTGGAGCCGAGGATCATATGAGGCGGAATCTGGTGAAGGTTAGTTTGATGCCGCAGCGTTGCCCAGACACTTTGTAGCGTCCAAAACCGGATAGCAAGGCAGTTCAAAGCGTGTTAAATGCACGCGGGAGACGCATGTGGAGGACGCGCTTGCAGCGCCCAAACCCTGGATGGCAGCGCAGTCGAAACGCGTGAAACGCCTGTGGGGGGGGGGCGCTAGCAGGGGCGCTGGACAGGATGCCTGGGAAGCTTCCGAGCTCTGGAAATGGAGCTCCGCAGGAGCTTCCAAGGAGCTGCGACAGAGATGCGAAAAGGCTTCCGACACGCGTACTGGGCGCCAGCGACACCGCCGAGGTTGAGTGGCGCGGGGCCCGTGCTCATACTGGGGCAAAGGGCCCGTCAACCAGGCTACCGCGGGGGAACCCCGCAGAGCTCCCTGAACGCTTGCGGGCGGAGACCATGTGGAAACATAGAAAGCTTCATTGTTTCATCGTCAGGTGACTGGAGTTCTAATAGTTCGTTTCAGATGATCATGTCGACCTAGCCTGCTTATTGTTCCCCCGCGTCGTCCAGAGGATGCCGACACTGGCCGCGCTTCGATCTGATACCATTTGAGCTCATTGGTTGGCTTCTAGCTTCCGTTAATGTCAGAACACCACTGACATATCTCGGCGCACGACTACTTTGATATTAACGGCAAAATATCAATGTAGCCGTCGTGCAGTCCTATGGCGTCGCCAGTGGCACGCGAGACGTCATTCCCGATTCAAAGATGTGCTTGACAGCTGTGTAAGTTGCCTGGAGCTCGGCTTCAGATGGAAAAAAACGACAGCCCCTTCCAAAGGTGCCAACACGAAGTCGGTTCCTCTACGCTCCTCGATAAGAATACTGCAGCTACGAACACGAAACTTGGACAGGAGAAAAGTCATAGGCTACTACGTGTCAGACACATGTGACTTCTTCATTTGACCACTCTGATCCTTGCCCAACTGTCAGAAAACCGACCCCAGGTCACCACTCTGTCTCCAGTGGCCGGGTCGGCCAACTAGCTCCACCCTGCACCCGAATTTCTCCTAGCTCATCGCCAAAGAGATCTGCGATGCATTGGGAACGAGAAGGACACCGCACTCAGGCCGCGCTGCAAGTTCAAGCAGTCTGCTCCGGAAATGCCTGCCCGCGGGCCTTGGAGAGGAGCTGGCGTAGCCCTGGCTGCCGGCTTCTTATCTCAAGCCATCTGTCGCTCTCCAAGGAGCTATGCGAGAATGTAGGGGCGCTGGAAAGCACTGGGTGCCCGCGGAAAACTGACAACCAGGCCATACAGCGGGAGACCTCGTAGAGCTCCCTGCACGGCCAGAAATGCTAATGCTTGCATAAGAGAGCATCTGACCTCATTTGCTGACTACAAGCTGCAGTTTAGACCAGAAGATCACCGACACAAGGCGCCATACAAATGCAGTAGTAACCGCGTTTCGTTTTTCTGGTCAAACTCTGCGCGAAGACTGATCGCATGGTCTGTGAGATATGTCAGATGCCGCTGCTCTCGTCTCTGACCATCTCAGGTCATCAGCTGGCTCCCAGCTTCAGTTAACACCAGAACACCACCGACGCATGGCGCGGGCGACAGAAATGAAACAATTGTCTCAGAAATGAAACAATTGTCTCGTGTGCTTGTCTCGTTCGAGCTCGATAAAGCGAAATTGCAGCGTGTGAGAGATGCAACAGATGTTGACGCTTTCAGTTGAAAGCATCTGAGGATATTAGCTCTCTCCCGGCTTCAGATGAAACCAGAACACCACCGACGCAGAGCGGCATGCGACTCTTCTCTCGATACCGCC